GGTTTTCTCCATTCCTGGTAATCCCTACTAAACATCAAATAAACGCTGGACCCTGAAATGCACCCTAAACCCTAAAGCCTAAAGTTCTAAAACACACCCTACACCCAAACCCTAATCCTTACTTACCCCTAAACCCTAAACCCGAAAACCTGAACTACAAAACCCTGGCCCTAACCCTTAACTGCTTAACTAAAACAGAAACCCAACCTAGACCCCAAACCCGACGCCCTACACTGCAATGAGTACGAGTTTCGACACCGCATCTTTCAACGCCGCCATGGTGTTGAGCCCGTGGTGCGTCATGTGGTGGGCCGACGTGCTAGGGAACGTCTTGAGGATCTCTTCCAGGCGAAGGTGTTTGCCTGTGATTGAAGCATGCTTGCCAATGCTCAGGTAGCACCCCAAAACATTAATAAACTTTGCGAAATCTTTCACTCAGGCACATGGCAAAGCCGAGCTCGGGCTCCAAATTCGGCTTTTGAGCCCTCGGATTTCCTTGCCCTCCCAGTCCTCCTCCACGAGCTCAGGCGTTTTGGGGCTGTCAGAGTCTTGACACACCCTTCTCAACAAAGCCCGCAAGGCAACGCACCCCAGATTTGTGAGACAATCTTGAGGAGCTCCCGATTTGCGAATCGCATACTCCATCTCCCGGAAGATGTTTTCCAAATTGCTGCTTTGGCTGAAGCTGGGATACCATGCTTCTACGATCTCTCGGACCGGGGCACAAAACCGGAATTGATGTCGTTCGAACACAGAAAGAATCTCTCTGTAACATTGAAATGTTGTGAACATGCAATGCTTCCTCAAGACTTCCTGTCCTGCAGGCGATTTCTCCATTTCAACCACCATGTTCCATTCCTTTTCGGCTTGCGTCAAGATAGTGGCCTGTGTGTCCACCGTGCTCTTTTCAGCCAGAAGTCCGGCCGACAAAGAAGGGAAGGACCGAAGGTGCAAGACGTATTCCAGAAACTCGGCGCAGCAGGTGAAGAAGGAGAACAGTTGCTCCAAGAGTATCTCCGCCTCCATGTTGTCCCTTCCAAATTTCGGCTGCAAAACCTCGTTTCTCTAGGGTCTGCTTTTGGTTGGGATTGGCGTACGAAAGGAAGAACCCCCAATTCCCCTGCCCAACCCCCTTCCCTCCCAAGCCCCCCCACCCAAAAGAAAAAGAGGACAAAACAGAGAATCACCAAAACCTTAACTGCACCAGTTACTGGGGGTGGAAACTGGGGGTGCCAAGCTGGGGTGCCCAAGCTGGGGTTGCCCAAACTATAGAAACTAGGGCGCAGCACCGAAAGCGAGGGTGCAGGAAATGGTCAAGATAAAAAACAATTGGGGTTGGGGTGTCCAAACTGGTGTGTGGGTAGGGTGGCAGGGGGGGGGGGAGGTGGGTGGGGGACACACGCAGCCAGCAGTATCAAACCCCTACAGACCCCTCAACCTCTCAAACCCCCATGCACACCCGCCACAAAGTCGCCAAACGCCCCCCCCGCAGTGTGCAATCACAGACGGTGCCATCCTTGGCTCCTTGATTTTCGCGCTCGAAAGCTGTTAAGGGCTCGGAGTTTTAGAGTTTGGGGTTTAGGGACTAGGATTAGGCGAAAACGGGCTGAGGGCTAATGCAGAGCATAGTTAGGGGCAGACCTGGACAGAAGGTTTCGTCCTTTGGGTGTTTGATTTTGACGCTCCAAAGCTGTTAAGGGTTCGGAGTTTCATAGTTGGGTTTAGGGACTAGGTTTCAGGCAGAACGGGCTTGGGCCTCATGCAGAGCACAGTTTAGGGCAGGGATTCTATTTGCCCTGGCTGAGCTGGCTTCTGGTATTGCCAGCTTTGCGTGGTTTAGACGTTTAGGATGTAGGGTTTAGGGTATTAGGGTACAGGGACGAGTTTCGGGTGGAACGCAAGAAGGTGGCAGGACAAGCTGACGGTTACCTAGCTACCCTGTTTACGAGCCCAAATCCGGGCCATGGCCTGGTCCTGCGGGAATTCCACATCCGGCTCGTGTCCCAGGACGTGAGACTGCAGGACGTCGAAGGCCAGACCACTGAGCATCCGTTCCACGTTTTTGCTGCTCATTTCCAGCACATGCCCGTGCAGATGCCATAGCTTCCGGGCATTCCGTTGCTTAGTTGCGTAGACAGGTCGCTCTTCTTATTCTCTCTGACCGCGTTAGTTGCATGATTGCAGCCCAGATACCAAGTCCAGGGATACATTCCGAAACGGCTCCATGAGGACGCGCGTGGATTTCCAAAGCGCGTACACCTGCTCGTCCATCAGGGCCTTACGACATGCAAAATTTGGCACGCTTGTGCCGACGTTCCAAGCCAACAGCCCTGCCAGTGCATCACGGCTGCTCGAATCGTCAAGTCGACGACCTTCTCGAAGTTAGACTCCGGGACTTCTGTCTCGGAACTCTTACTGATGATGTGAAAAGGGTTGATGCCGGCCTGTGCACAATTTTGCTGGGGGGGGGGAGGGGTAAGGAATAGTTTGCCGAAAATGCCGCCTCTATGCCACTCCAGAACAGTAGGAGAAGGGTTCCCGTGAACTGCGTCCTCTTTGAGGTGTGTGCCCAGCTGCACCATCGAGAGAAATCGAAGCCATCGTCGTGAAGCCTCGGCTCATTCTTAACAAAACAAGAGAATTAACCAAAAATCACTCGCAATGTGTGGCAAGTAGCTTGACCAACCGGGAGAGAATGTCCACAATTTTCTCGAAGTCGTGCTCTTTGTTCTCTGTTGGAGCCAACCCGTTCCTTCAACCCAAAAAGAAACACACAGCAGCGAAACTTCGACAAAGATATGCAGTTAGGGCACTCGAGGAGGATGTCCCTGGAGAACATCTCCTGTAGTACATCGCCAGCTTCTGCCTGGGCGAAACAGTAGGGAACATGGTTCCGGGTAGGGCTTTAGGGCTAGGGTTGAGGGGACTGGTTTAGAGGTCTAGGGTTTAGGGGTTTAGGGTTTAGGGAGGGATGACTACGGGGTCTAGGGCTTAAGGACTGACTGACTGCAGCCAGGCTTACGACGTCGAGGTAGCGTTTGCCGGCTTCCTTGAGTGTGTTTGCGACTCCATGCTGCTTCCACGGGGAGCGGCGGCAGCGTGAAATCCATGTGGTCAAAGAGAACATTCCTTGAGCACGTCTTCGCTCTGCACTCTTTTCACTGACAACACACTCCCGTAAGGCAAGGCACTTTTCATCAGCTTCGTGGAGTTCAGGACGTTCTTGCAGTGGTTGTGCAGTTTGTGACTTAGCCACAAGTCAGGAAGGAACAACTACTGGCGTGCGACAAGACAGGCTTCATGTCACAACAAGTACAGATGCTTTTCGTAGCAAGAAGTACAGACAAGTAGCCTCTCGTCGCGATTGAACCCGATAGCAGCACCCTTGTGCGCCATGAAAACAAACCCGGCAAACAGGGACGACCCCTCGTCTGGCGACAAGATGAGTCGGCAGTGGTCCTCACCCAAGTGCTCCCAGTGGCTGCTTCCATCCATCAGATTGTGAATGTACATCCTTCTTTCGCCTTCGAATTCGTGACAAAGCCGAACTTGCGTGCTTGGATCGACGGGCTGCAGTTTTTCTTTCGGCCAGATGTCGTCGAAATTCATGCCCATGTTCTGGATGCAGTGATGCACCGCTTGAAGCTGTTCTCTGGCCGCAAGTCTTTTCTGTTGGAGCTCTTTGATCTTCCGTGGCCTTGGATAAGGTCCTAAGAACTGACGACAACGTTCAGGGTTTTTTGTGCGTAGTCGAGACACATTCGGGGTTTCTGATCGTCTGTCTTGCGATCGGCAACCATGAGCTTCGTGGTGGCGTCGGCTATTTCTGCAGCGACCTGCATCTTGGTAGCATCATCCACCTGACTTGCAAGAAGGCTTGCCAGTCTTTGCAAAGTTCCAACGGCTGCGAAACCGTTGCAAGCCACCACGGGAAGCCAAACCTTGGTGTGAAGGACGTGTTCAACAAGAAATATGGTATTCCGCCACGAGAACAGAAACAGAATGCATGCTTGCGGCCTCGATTGCACCTTTAGGTGAGGCGTCGCAGAGCAAGCTGAAGCTCTTCAGTCTCATCTTGGCCAGTTCCTCTTAGGATTTCAGGGTTTAGGGTCGAGGGTTTAATTAGGCTTCAGCTTGTAGGGATGAGGGTTTGGGCTTGAGGGCGCAACAGCCGCAACAGCCTCAGACAGCATGCTGCTGGCTTTGCGGAGGTATCGAAAGAAGAAATCAGCCACTGTCCTGCTCATGATACAATTTCGCTTTGCGTGCGTCTACCAGGATCATACGCACATGGGGAGCATTGAGCGCCTCTGGTAGTGAACCGGTAGGACACCCTGCAAGTCCATGCTTTCCAGACACTGGTCTGGCGTGGCGGCCATGAAGCCTCCACCGCGGCTGAGGAATCTCTCGATGCAGAGCTGGCTCTTGGGCTTTGGCTCCAAGCGCAGGATGCGGCCGTCCCTGAGCAGCAAGGTCTTTAACAAAATACATGTCTTGCAGAACGTGCGTAAGACAGTCAGGAAAATTTTTCACGTCATCGGCTAGAAACGTTCTCGCTGGGTGGATTTCGTCTCCTTGCTGAAGCACAGGGAGCCGCGTCTGGAGCACGGCCGGGAAGTGTGCCTCCGCTGCCTGGCTGAGGCGATGTATGAGTCGGCGCTGGAGGCGAGAGTAGTTGATATCCTGGCAAACAAATTGTCCGACGTCACAACTACAAAGGCAGCGTGGCTGGGTCCTGGAAGGACTCCTGGAAAGGTGCCCTCATCACGAACCAAGCAAAGACGTGCAGCTTGATGCCTCCCGACACAACAGGGGAGACAATGCAAGCTGCAGGGATTGTCTGGGTCAAGGCACCTGTCTGCAGTGTCTGCTGCGTCTTGCTGAAGACTTTGGTGTACCGCCACCTGACGAAAAATGGGATCCAATGACGGATTATGTGTATCTTCTGCGGCCTTTGTGTCAGCTGCGTATAGTTGAGGAACTCATTCAGGCAGTCTAGCTCAACTTCGTTCTGGCGAACACGTATCAAACCTGAGCACGATGCCACTAGGGAGTTGTGTTTGCTGAGAAAAACACGCAGCCCGGGCACACTCGGACCGGCCCGGTAGCAGATCCAAGTCCAGATCTGGTGGAACACAGGCGGACAAGACCACCTCGAGGGCCTGCAGCGCTGCTAGCTGCAGCTCTGGCTTGCAGCCGCGCACTTGTAGTCCAACTCCAACCTCGGCCGCAAGAAAGGGTTCTGGGATCCAAGGGTTTAAGGAATTCGGCAGGGCTTGGGCCTCGGCGCCACGATTGCGGGTTTGAGATGGGTGGCTGACGACTGAGGGTTTCGGATTGAGGGTTGTTTTTCTGAAGCATGGCAGGCAGGGAGCCGCAAAGAAGAAACCAGGCGTGGTGAGGGCGTCGAAGGGAAGGCGAGGTCTGTCCCCAGGAACGTGGTCCGCCTTTCCCCTGTAGTCATCCCTGCGGATGAAGTGTATTCCGATGTCAACTTTCCAGGCAGCTGACAGTTGACTGCCCTGCTGCTCCGGCCTCAATGTCCACATCGGAGGCAGAGACTACACTGACTGTCTAGCGCAGCACGTCTGCAGGAGGCATAGTTCATCAGAGGGACAACTTGCTGAACCAGTTATGAAACTTCTGCGTTCTTTTGAGCACAGACCATATCTCGTGGGTTCGCCACATGTACGCATACCCCTCCATGTCATCGTCCAGAGCCTGGCGCAACATGACTTGTTTGGGAAGCGGGGGGGGGGGGACCTTTTTGGGGTTGGGGGAGGGGGGGGAGGCCTTGTGAAGCTGAAGAACACCTTGGACGCCGCCCGAAGTTGCCAGGTAAAGCTTCTGCGTAGCAAGGCGAGGTTGTTCAGGCGATGTGGACTGCGCCCCAGATTCCGTGTTCTCGTCGGCCTTCTGGGTTTCAGCATCTTCTTTCGTTTCGAAGAGAGTAGGTCGCAGGGGCAAGCCAAGCTCAAAACATCTCGGCCGAAAGGTCTCAAGGGCCTCCTGCAAAGACATGTGTCACTCATGTGAGCATGTGAGTAATGACAGGGAGTCCTCCCGTCCTCCCAGAGCTTTGCACTGATCACGTAGCCACCCAGCGCCCGGTTGTGCTTGATGGTACTGTCAGCAAACTGGACCCTGTCTTGAAACCTGGCTTTGAAAGCTTCTCGAGCTTCGGGTTCCTGCAGCCTGGGCCAATGAAAAAGCAGCCAGCACGTTACAGGAGCCAGCACGCTGAAGTGCGGCCCAGGGACCCACAGAGCTCTCGGAGCCGGTCCGCGAACCACTTGCTCTCAGCCATTCCTGGGCCAGGGCTAGCCGGGCTACTGCATTCCACCTCGCGCTGTCAGTTCTGTCTCGCCCGCTCTGCGCCGCCACGTGCGGGCGACAAAAAGTTGAGGTGGCACGCAGTAAATTGAGGTGGCACGCACTCACCCAAAACGAGGCAGCACGCAGTTTTTTGTGGAGTGTCTCGCGCCATTGTGGTTTAGGCGGTTGCGTCGGGCGTCTAAAAAAAGTGCATGCTGTCTCAGGATTTTCCAGCCGCGACGTGCGTGACGCAGGGGGGAAAAAAAAATTGAGACGGAACGTTGCTGTTGAGGCAGCACGCTGGGCAAGGAGCAGGCGTGGCCAGCACGTTGCACAGGAGCCAGCACGCTAGCCCCTGCCAAAAACCCAGGGCAACCGCTCTAGTACTTAAACAGAAGAACAGCCCCCCCCCCCCCGGCCCCCCCCCGGGATGACGTGGCCGCAAAGCCCTCACCCCGCGCGCCCTCCCCCTCACCCATCAGCTCCATTGCAGTTTCTGATTTTAGGGTGTAGGATTTAAGGCACTTTAGGCTTTGGGCTACAGCCTAGGGACCCTGACACCACGAAGAAAGTGGTGCTCTCGAAGCAGCCAAGATTCCCCAAAGCTGCGAGCGTGCGGCGTGAGACAAGAAGCGCACGGAGACGCGTGGCTTCAAAGACAATGTTGGACTATTGGCTGCTTCTGTTGGGTGCAGGCAATTGCTAGTAGAATCAGACACCGTGCCGTCATTGGGTACTTCATTATGACACTCGAAAGCTGTTAAGGGTTAGGGGTTTGAGAGTTTGGGGTTTAGGGACTAGGACTAGGCGAAAACGGCCTGGAAAATGCTGCAGAGCAGCTGTGTTTTGAGCACAGACTGGAAAGTTTGTTGCAAGGCGGCATAGCTCATGTGGAGTTGCAGCAAGCACGTGCCGCAAACAAGTAAAGGCAAGAACAAGATTTCATGCCTCTCTTTGGTCCTCCCCAGACACAGCACGTGGCAGATGCTTCTCAGTAGCGTGCGAGCATCTAGGACTCAGTGCCCAGCGTCGCGGCACCTCGCTTCGGCGTGACCTGACAAGAGCAGGGCTGACTGCTAGTGGGGCTGACTGCTTGCAGTGCTGACTGCTTGCATGACTCCCTGACGTGTTTGCTGAGGCCTGCATTTCCATCATCCTTCGCTTCCAGGACGCCAACACTCTCTT